CTGTCGGGCCGAACGAAGGGGGTAGTGAAAGGGGGGGGTACGAAATCTGCTGCATGCAGCTGGATTCGGCCCCGCCGCCGGGCCCATTCCTCGATACATGGACGCCTCCCGGCACCAGGAGGCGCTGGGAAAATCAGCTACATGAGCTGATTCTCCACCCTACCCTTTGCTATCCCCCCTTTCGTTCGCCCCGAGATTACCGAACTGGAGGAGACGTGCCCCATAGGTAGCCCAGCCTGGCCTCAACATGCCCCCCCCCACGGGCAGCCGCAGTTCTCGTCCCGAGCAGCTGTTTTGTTGTTGATGGCCCCGGGGCCCAGGAGAGGCCCCCACGAGGCGAAAACTGGCAGACCGCGTCCGCCGTGATGGCTTCGCCATGCCCAGACCTCCGACGTCATGCTTTTGTCATTACGTCGACCCCTGTACCATGGACCGGTTTTTCATCCCGAGTCGTCTTCGGACGGTCCCGAGGGCCGGCTGGCCGAAAATAGCCAAAAACCTATGGCGCCATGATTTTGTTCATTGCCCGAGGGGGTCTGGGTGAGCAGAGGCCTCGACACCTCCTCGCCGCCTCCGGCGCCGCCCCTCGGGGGGGCGCTCCGCGCTCGGATCCTGTGGGGGGCGGTGGCGACCGCCGGGCGCTGGGCCTTGCCGCGAGGGCGCCGCCCGTGGCCTATAGGAAGAAGTCCCCGGGATGCAGCCACCACGGGCGTGTTCGCCGGGCGAGGGGCCCCGGGGCCGATCCAGCTCGCAAGACCCAGACCCCCTTCGGGAAATGAAAAAATCATGGCGGGAGGTTTTTCGCTAGTTTCGGCCTCTGGGGGCCCTCACCAGCCCTCGGGACCGTCAGAAAACGACTCAGGATGAAAAACCGGTCCAGGGGAATGGGTCGAGACCTCCAGGGGTCGACGCAATGAAAAATTCATGACGTCGGGGGTCTGGGGGTGGCGCAGAAAGATGGGTTCAGGGTTCCGGCCTTTTTCGCTGCTACGTCGGATCATGTGAAGATCTTTCCTAACTCGGCCTCCGACATTGCGGTTGCATACCTATGATGCACGGATGAAGGCAGGCGGGATGGGCGGGACTGAAACAGCGCTTCCCTGCCTCCGCAGACATGCGCCTCAGAGGCCCCACGGATGGCCGTGCTGGCAGCACACTGCGAACTGTGCAAGCGTTGAGTCTAGAAAACAATAATTTGTCGGAACGTGGCACAGGGTCACTGGGCTGGTCTCGAGCCTCCCTGGGTACCAAGAGCACCTCCAGAAGACCTCGCAGAGAGCCTCGCGAGGGAGCTCTGGGAGGGGTGTCGGGTGATCTCGTAGTGCTGAGTCCCAGATATTCGATAATATGACGTTTCAATGTTTACCAATTCCTGCCCCTGGGGTCCGCTATCGGGCCCCAGGACAAAGCCGATCCGGGCTTCCAGGCTGGTCTGGAGTTCACCTGAGACACTGACGTGGGAGCAGTGGCTGGCACCGTGGATGGGGAGCAATCTCTGCCTCTGCCTCTCTCTCTCGCCTCTCCCCCATCCTCCCTCTCGCTGCCTGCCTCCTCCCCTCTCTCTCTTCCCTCCTCCCCTCACTATCTCCCTCCTCCCCTGTCTCCCCTCCTCCCTCCTCCCCTCCCTCCTCCTCCCTCTCCCTGCCTGCCCCGCCCAGGCGCTGATGGAGTCTCAGCAGCCCGCTGTGCTCCCGACGCTGGGGGCGCCCCTTGCGCCTCCTCCGCCGCCGCCGCCGCCAGTCGAAGGCGGGCCCGCTGACGGGGAGCGACTGGGGGTCGGCTCGGCGACTACGAATGGGGTGGTCACGCCAGGGCGTGCGTGATTTGCGATACGGGGGCGGAACGCAGCGGAGAGAAGCAGTGTACAGTGTTGCCGATCCTCCGTACGGTGCGCCCTCGCGCCCAGCTTTATCGCAGAGGCGGTCTTCTGGAGGTCGTGTTGTTACTCGTTGATCCCCCAAGTTGTCCGCGCCAGGTAACCCTTCTCGGGTCCCAGGACCGTCAACAACTTGCCCAGCGCGAGACTTCCCCCCCGGGAGTTAGTCGGGGCTTCCTGGGGCCTCGTGCTGGAAACAGGGCACCGGAGGTCCGCGAGAAACGAGCATCGAGGAGCTTTATCCAGAAGGACTTCGCCACCTGTGAGCCCCCCTCTTTCTCCTCGTGGCCTGTATACATCCGAGCTCTGCTGGCCCGTTGCTGCCCGTTCTGGCCCGCTGCCGCCTGTGCCTGCTTGTGGGAATGTCCACTTCGTCACGTTGCCGCCCTTTGCCTGGTCGCCGCTGGGGGGGTCCGCCAAGGCTTCGCCACGTTGCCGCCTCGTTGCCGCCTCGTTGCCGCTGAGGAGGTCCGCCGGGGATTCGCCGCGTTGCCGCCGGTTGCCGCCCCATTGCCGCGTCACTGCAATAGTTTGCACCACACAGCTTGCGCCACGTATCTTAGGCCACACAGCTTGCGCATGCAGCTTGGGCCACATGTGTTGCACCACATGGCGGACACATCCACAGTGCAAGAACTTATTGTTTGAGCTCCACGCTAGCTAACACATTGGCAGTTCGAAGTTCTTGTTGGACGCTTTGTGGCCTGCTCAGAGCGTCTGTCTCATGCTGCGTACTGGAGGCCTCTTTGACGGGCTGCGGGCTGCCTGGTTGCCACCTCGGGCGAACTTGCGTCATATGGGAATGTGCTGTGGATCCCTGCATCCTCCGCTGTTGGCAAGGTTGAGCTGCTTCGGGTCCAGAGCCGAATTATCAGGAGACGGCGGCGGGTCGGGGAAGGGGGGGCCGAAACGCGCCCCCCGAACACCCCCAAGCCATCACGCGAGTCGCGCTCTCTCGGGCAGCCTCCGTGGGGCGGGCCCGTGGCTCAGGCGCGCGGGTGCCGTGTGCTCTGCGCAAAGGGGTCGTGGCCTGGGTATAGCACGCGCGCGTCGTAATTCCCTACGGGTTGTGCCCGTCGGGTGCGCGGACCTGTAGTACTGCAACCTTGGTCGTGGCCCCAGGAGCGCGAAGGAGTGGTGCTCTTCGAAGGAGCGTGGCCTCGGGGGCGCGACTGCGCTGTAATGCACAGGGGGATCGTGGTCTCGGGGTGGCGCGATGTGTCAGGGAGTGCTGCCTGGGGAGCGCGAAAGCATGGCAGAGTACAGTGGGCTGCAGCTTCGGAGGCGCAGGCGCCTTTTTTTTTTGTTAAAGTATTACGGGCTGTGGCCCTCGGGGACGCAAACCTGCAGTGCCGTTCGAAGGAGTGTGGCCTCGAGGGCGCGAATGCGCTGTAATGTGCAATGGGGCTCCGGGGGCGCGAGCGCGTCGTGATTTGCGAGCGTAAGCTGTCTCGGGAGCTCGACTGTGCTGTGAGAGTAGAAGGGATTGTGGTTTCGCGACCGCGACCGTGAGGTCGTGTATTGTATGCTGTGGCCTCGGGAGCGCCGAGCGTGCCGCAATCCACTCGGAAGTGTAGCCCCGAGAGCGCGCATTCGCGTTGATCTTCGCAAGAAAAGTCGTGGCCTCGGGGGCGCGAGCTCGCGGTACGTTACGCAGGATCGTGGCCCCCCTGGAGCGCGAGTGAGAAGTACAGTCTTGCGTGTCCCAGGGCACGCCAGAGCTGAGGGGGGGAGCGCCCAGCTACCGAGGTGGCAGCGGCGCCCAGCTCCGGCCACGGGGGGGGGGGGGGCGCGCGTCAGTCGTGGTCTCTGCTGCAGGGCGCGGCAGCCTGAGCCTCGCGGCCTGGTGGCCCCCAAGGGGGGTCCGCAGGAGTACGCGCTTGCTACCGCTGGCCCCCCACGGGGGGGAGCCCCGTGGCCACGGCTGGAGGCAGCCGACAAGGTTGCCAGGAGGAGGAGGAGGACAAGCTAGGTGCGCTCGCGTCATATCTGACGTCCTACCCCTCCCTCCCATCCCCTACCATGGCGTAGATCTCTTCTCGATTCACACAATCGGATGTCGCAACATGGCATAACATTACATGGCATAGCATGGTGTTGAAGATCAACGCGTAACATGACATAGCATGACGTGGCGAAGCCCCAAAGTGGGGGGGGGGGGGGGCTTCTGCGGCCCCAAGATCAACGAACCGACACCGACTGTGGAATCACTTCCGATGGTTTTTTCGGGGGGCCAATTTCTAGATTTTGGGGACTATATGGAAGGACCGAGAAACATGTCGTGGCATGGCGCTGGAAATAATGACGCCAGAGCTGCAGCGGGAGCACGATTCGGGACGAGCGGAAGCGCGGACATGAGGCCAGCGCTGCAGCGGGAGCACGATTCGGAACGAGCAGTAGCCCAAAAATGAGGCCCGCGCTTCAGCGAGAGCAGCATTTTGGAAACTGTTCCAAGCGAAAACCCAACTCCCGGGAATCCTGTGTGCAAACAGCCAGTACGCGGAGCGGGGCCGGACATTTCCCGGACGCCATTAGGGGAGAGAGGAGAGTAGTATTCATATTGTGTAATTGTGGAGGAGGAGGAGGAGGAGGAGGAGGAGGAGGAGGGGTCCGAGAAACGATGTTGAGCAGAGTTGGGGCCAACACTATCGGGGTCAAACGCAGGGGCGCGAAGGTAGTCAGGCTTCGCGCTTGTCGGCGCGAGAGCTCTATCATATGACCGCGGGTCGCGCAGCGCGCGGCGCTGGGCGGTCTCGAGAAGCCCGCCCCGACGGCCGAAGCTTGAGGAGCTTCGAACGGCTCGATGTTTGAGTCTTCGCGTCGTCGTCGTCGTCGTCGAACGGCCCGCGCGTCGTCGTCGTCGTCGTCGTCGTCGTCGTCGTCGTCGTCGTCGTCGTCGTCGTCGTCGTCGTCGTCGTCGTCGTCGTCGTCGTCTCTTGGAGAGCTGAGAGCCCCGTGCCGTTGCTGGCCGGTCGCTTCTCGCTCCGCGGCGCGTCATCCGCCCGCGCCCCTGCCGCGGGGAAACAGCGGCTTCGGTCGGGGCCAGGCCGTGGGGCGCTCTTGACCCCGCAGCGGTGGCTGGCTCGAGAAGCGGTTGCTCGACGATCCATTCACGATCGATTCCCATGACGGCCGTGCGATGCTCCTTGGGGTGCTGGCTCGCCTTCAGGGCGCGATTGGGGCGTTCTTGGGACGACGCCGTCCTTCCTGAGGCGTCCCTGCGAGCCTTCTGAACTGGCAGGGCGCGAGGAGGTGGCCATCCTCTCTCTCTCCCCTCTTCCCCTCCCCTAACTTCTTTGCGTCGCAAAACAAGCGTGACCGAAGGTTTTTCGCAGTTTTCAGCACCAGAGGCCCTGGGAACGTCAACCAAGGACGACTCGAGGATGATTAAGGGTGGTGCTGGGGGAAGTGCACTAGTCGGTTATTGGGGTCCACGCTGTGGGTTCTGGGTTGCCCACCGCTCTTGCCCCCTCTCCCCTTGACCTCCCAGAAGGGCCCCAAAAATAGCTCCAGGACCTCTGAGCTTGATCATGATCACTGTTTCTAAGCAGCCCAGACAGGCCGATGAGTCTTGAGGGATATCCTTATGCGCTCTGAAAAGTCAGGGCCGCTTGTCCATGTTTACCCACCTTAAACATGCGTCCATATCCCTATAATTGGCATCGCCTTTTCTCGATCGCGAGCGTAAGTATTGCTTCGGTTTCTGAGGGCGCAACCTAAGATGTTAATCATGTCTGAGCTTGTCAAACGTTGGGATAGGGATAAACTCGATGCTGGTTGCATGTCCTTTTGTGCTGAGTCCGTCCAGTGCATGAGCCCAACCAGCGGCCGAACGGGCGGTCGCGGACCTGGCGGGGTGACGGAATCTTGGCCCGCTCGGCAGTTGAATGGGCCAGACTTTGAGCCCGCTCTGGCGGCCGAACTGGTTCGGACGCCGAACGACTTCCCAGAGTTCTGACGACCTGAGTTCTTCAATCCCAGTGTTGCTCGTTGATTTCGGCATGCCCCCCGGAGGCCGAAAGGCAAGGAGCGCCCAGAGACCTCGATCCTCCTCATGCCCCTCCACCCTGAGCCCGCCAGCACCTTCGACGAGCCAGGCCCTGGAGGATATGGCCGCTCGCGAGGAGGCCCAGGCGAGGCTGGCGTGGAGCGACCTCCTCGCTTAGCCCCGCCTGGCCTCCTCTCTCTTTCATCATTCTTGCGCACTGTCTGGGCCCGGGGACCCAGCCCGCGCCCGTGCTGGCGAGAGCAGCGAGACGCTTCGTCCGACGCTCGGGACAAAAGAGCTCCTACTCACGCCTCCGGCGTGCCCCCCCCCCCCCCCGCGCGCCTCCGCGTCCGACGCCGCCGACGCACAGACGCGCCTGCGTCTCAGACCCCCGACGTCATGATTTTTTCATTACGTCGACCCCTGGAGGTCTCGACCCATTCCTCTGGACCGGTTTTTCATCCTGAGTCGTTTTCTGACGGTCCCGAGGGCTGGTAAGGGCCCCGGGAGTCCGAACATGGAAGAAAACAAAAACGTCTTGATTTTTTTAATGCGCTGGATCTCGGCCTCGTCGGCGTCGTCGCCCGCGCGCGAGCGTGCCGTCGCCGCGCTGCCTCCGCCTCGGCCCTGCAGGGGCGGCCGCCCCCCCGGCCGCGGCGCCGGCGGCGGAGGGGCCGCCGGTCACGAAGCGTGCGCCGGGGCGGCGGCCAAACGCGCGCCCGCCCGCCTTCGTTCGGGGGCAGCGGTAGCGGGGGGATAGGCATAAGGGGGGATGCATCGACCCCCAATCCCAGAGATCCAACGCATGGAAAAGATCAAGACGGACGTGTTTCGCAGTTTTCGGCCCCCAGGGGCCCTCGCCGGGCCTCGGGACAGTCAGAGAACGAGTCAGGATGCAAAACCAGTCCTGGGGACTGGGTCGAGACGTTTGGGGACCCCGTATTGAAAAAATCACGACATCGGATCTCAGGGGATGCATCGACCCCCAATCGCCCATGATAGGGACCCAATAGCCCCACCCCGCCCAGGAAGGTGCGGATTCGCTATCGGGGGCCTATCGCAGAGCTATCGACGATGCATCGCCGATTCCAGGTCGATGCATCCCCCCTATGCCTATCCCCCCCTGTCGTTGCCTCTCATTCCTAGACCTCCCCGCGTCGTGAGGGAGTTTCGACGGAAAGTGTAGGTTCCACTTTCCCATCGTCGGGGGCCCACCACAGGGCCACCAGACCGTCCAGAGACGTCTCAGGATGAAAAGCCGGTGTCGGGGAGGTGGTCCAGGCCTTAGGGGCCTGAGTGCACAGCCCCGAGTGATCTGGGCAAGGGGTGAACAGCGAAAATAGCTGATTCGGGCCTCTAGCCCGAGAGTTCTCCAGGACTGCACTCCGCCCGAGTGTCCCCGATCACCTTCTCCCGCGCGCTATCCTGGCACAGGAGCTGCCCCGGATCGGCGATTCCAGGGCAGGCCCGGATGAAATTCTGAGGGCTGCAGACAGAGCCGTACCCGGACCAGGTCTGTCAGGGATAAGTTGGTCGAGGACTGCGGCCACGACGGCGCCACGGGGGCGTCGGGCCCACGTGCGCGTCGAGGACCCAGGAGTGGAGGGGACACAGCTGCCCCCTCCCCACCGCCCGCCACATCGGCACCCTTCCCGGCCCCCCTGGCACCGTGGCCGTGAGGAGGCGGAGGAGGCGGGGAAGGGAAGTCCGAGGAGACAAAGGGTACCCATGCCTCTAATTACCTTTGCTTCGTTTCCGCGCTTCTGGGCCTCCTGGGAGGCCCTCGTCGCCACCGCTGGATTCGCCTCGAAATTCGGGCCAGAACGCACCCAGGGAGAGGTCCAGGGAGTGGCGGTATCGGTGCAGCAAGGAGGAGCAGTTAGGGGGAGGAGCAGTTAGCGGGGCCTTCCTGGGGAGGTGATCCGATTGTCTCGGGGCGGGTGGTGCCCTCGGCCCTCGGGCTCTTCGACTCCCGATGTCAGGAAGGAAAGACACACAGACACGAACCGTCGACTCCCAGGAAAAGATGCGAAAATATGGGAATTGGGGGGAAGACGAACATCCAAACAATATGGGAAAATATGGGGAATCCTGGGACTTGTTGGTGCGTGTGTATTCCCAGCCCTCCTTGAGTATTCGTTTTGAATAAAGCACTGCGGTCTCCAGTCCTCCTCCTCCTCTCGCCTCACGTCTCCCGCTCCCCTCTTGTCTCCTCCTTGTCTTGTGCGTACCTCGTGTGTGTGTGTGTGTGTGTGTGTGTGTGTGTGTGTGTGTGTGTGTGTGTGTGTGTGTGTGTGTGTGTGTGTGTGTGTGTGTGTGTGTGTGTGTGTGCGTGCGTGTGTGTGTGTGTGTGTGTGCGTGTGCGTGTGCGTGTGTGTGTGGTGTGCGTGTGCGTGTGCGTGTGCGTGTGCGTGTGCGTGTGCGTGCGTGTGCGTGTGCGTGTGCGTGTGCGTGTGCGTGTGCGTGTGCGTGTGCGTGTGCGTGTGCGTGTGCGTGTGCGTGTGCGTGTGCGTGTGCGTGTGCGTGTGTGTACTCCGTCCCTGGGGGGCTGCGATCTGCGACATTGTCGCCACTTTCGAGGGCTGCTGGTGGGTCCAGCGGAGTGAGGCACCGCGGGGATCTGAGCGAGACCGGCCCGTCCTTGGGGGATGCGATCTGGGGAAATGCCGCCACTTTCGAGGTCTGCTGGTTGGTCCTGCGGACTGAGGCACCGCGGGGATCTGAGCGGGAAGTCGCCGTCCCTGGGGGGCTGCGGTCTGCGACATTGTCGCCACTTTCGAGGGCTGCTGGTGGATCCAGCGGAGTGAGGCACCGCGGGGATCTGAGCGGGACCTCGCCGTCCCTGGGTGGCTGTGATCTGCGACATTGCCGCCACTTTCGAGGGCTGCTGGTGGGTCCAGCGGAGTGAGGCACCGCGCGGATCTGAGCGGGACATCGCCGTCCCTGGGTGGCTGTGATCTGCGACACTGCCGCCTCTTTCGAGGGCTGCTGGTGGGTCAGCGGAGTGAGGCACCGCGGGGATCTGAGCGGGACCTGCCCGTCCCTGGGGGGCTGCGATCTGCGACATTGTCGCCACTTTTGAGGGCTGCTGGTGGGTCCAGCGGAGTGAGGCACCGCGGGGATCTGAGCGGGACCGGCCCGTCCTTGGGGGATGCGATCTGGGGAAATGCCGCCACGTTCGAGGTCTGCTGGTTGGTCCTGCGGACTGAGGCACCGCGGGGATCTGAGCGGGAACTCGCCGTCCCTGGGGGGCTGCGGTCTGCGACATTGTCGCCACTTTCGAGGGCTGCTGGTGGGTCCAGCGGACTGAGGCACCGCGGGGATCTGAGCGGGAACTCGCCGTCTCTGGGGGGCTGCGATCTGCGGCACTGTCGCCACTTTCGAGGGCTGCTGGTGGGTCCTGCGGAGTGAGGCACCGCGGGGGTCTGAGCGGGACCTCGCCGTCCCTGGGAGGCTGCGATCTGCCACACTGTCGCCACTTTCGAGGGCTGCTGGTAGGTCGTGCGGACTGAGGCACCGCGGGGATCTGAGCGGGACCTCGCCGTCTCCGGGGGGCTGCGATCTGCGACATTGTCACCACTTTCGGGGGCTGCTGGCCAGCGGAGTGAGGCACTGCGGGGATCTCAGCGGGACCTCCCCGTCCCTGGGGGCTGCGATCTGCAGAGTTGTCGCCATTTTCGAGGGTTGCTGGTGGGTCCAGCGGAGTGAGGCACCGCGGGGATCTGAGCGGGACCTGCCCGTCACTGGGGGGCTGCGATCTGCGAAACCGTCGCCACTTTCGAGCCTGGGGGGCTGCGATATGCGAGACTGTTGCCACCTTCGAGGGCTGCTGGTGGGCTCGCCACTTTTGAAGGCTGTTGGTGGGTCCAGCGGAGTGAGGCGTTGCGCAGACCTGAGCGGGGACACGCCGTCCCTGGGGGGGCATGTCATGTTGTTGTTGCCCCGCCGACGTTCCATGCCCTTTGCCCACCGTCTCTTTTTGGACTTTGCGTCTCCCTTAGTGACTCAGGGGTTCACTTAGTTACTCATCGTGTTTCCCTTGATTGCGGACCTGCGAACATTTCGAATGCCGCTCGCAGAAATAGATGTGTCCATGTCACGTCGCCGCCTTCTCGTCAAGTCTCCCAAACTATATCCTGCTCCGCATTGCGCAGGGGTTGGGTACGTCGCCAGGGTAATTTGTGTGCTCCTGGGCCCCTTCATATCACTCCCCTGCTCGTGCACGGGTTTTGTCCTCGGGAGAGGCTGCCAAGACCGATTGCCGCGAGTCGCGGGTGAACGAGCCAAGGAGGAGGGAAGGAGGAAGAGGAGGAGGAGGATGAGGAGGAGGAGGAGGAGGAGGATGAGGAGGAGGAGGAGGACGAGGACGAGGACGAGGACAAGGAGGAGGAGGAGGAGGAGGAGGAGGAGGAGAAGAAGGGGGAAAGGGAGCAGGGCACCTCCGCACCGATCCGGGCACGGCCGAAACCTTGGGCTCCTTGGGCTCCGGGAGGGCGGCCCTTGGGCGTCGAGGGGTGTGGAGGTCCCGGCGCCGGCGGGGCAGCCCCCCCCCCCGGGCGGCCCGGAAGGTCGCGATCGTGCGGGGCCTTCCCGAGACGGGCCTCGCCCTCGAGGGATCGAGAAGCTTGCGCTCGGAGGAGGATCCGGTGCAGACACCGCTGGGTGCCCTTCCCTCGTGGCCACGGCTGGATTCGCCCCCAGATCCTGGTCAGAACGCCCCCCTATGGCGAGGTTCACGGAGTATAGCTGTATCATTGAGTTCTTGTTTTTCCAGACACCTCTTCTTCGGCGGAAGCCGGCGCAACTACACCAAAGGGCGGACGAGCCGGCGGAGACCAGAGGAAGTAAGCATCGGTTTTCCAAGAGATGCACGTTTTCTTGGATGCAGAGTTTTGCGACGAGCCATGTGCGCTTCCGCCCACCATGATGCGCTCGTGCAGGTGCCTCTTCTGTCCCCAGATTTCCGAAGTCACAGTTTGTCTCGCAGCGTGGGCCCCCGAAGGTCTGGGCCGCTTCCCAGGGGCTGGCTCTCCGTCCGGAGCCGTTCTTGTTGACGGCCCTGGGGCCGGGGCCCCGCAAGGGCCACCAGGGGCCGAAGTCGGGGAGAGACCTTCCGCCGTGATATTTTGCCGTGGCGCGAGGAGGTCGGGGCACTCTGCCCCCCCTCCCTGGGTGAAAGTTGTTCGATCTCATCGACCCGATATTTGAAATCGATGTCGGCCGGCCCGGCCCGATTCGATCCCGAGATGCTCGGGACCCGATGAGGCCCGATGCTGGCATGGCGCTGTCATCCTTCCTGGTGCGGCCGAGTGGGTACGGTTCCGACTCCGTGCCGATGTGGCCCGCAACAACACCAACACAGGGGGTGTCTCCACTGGGGAAGATGATCCTAGATTTCGGTGCTTGTGTTAATCCCTCGGCCACTCAAGAAGCACGAGTATTACCACCATCGCCGAGATCGGGATCATCTTCCCTCGGTGTAGGCAACCGCCGATTTCGGTGTTGCTACCAGTCAGCCTCCTAAGCTTCGAGGCGCGTTCCGATACGAACGGTGTCATCCTGATGCGGTGCTGACTGCTCCTGCCTTCCCCCTCTCGGGGGCAACATCCGGGGGGTAGTCTCAGGGGGGATGCATCGACTCACGTGCGCCCACTGATCGCCGATCGTAGGGGCCTGGTGGCCCAGACCCGCCCAGGGCCGTGCGCGTTCGCTACCGGAGGCCTGTAGCCGATCTATCGGCGATGCCTCGCCGATCCCAGCTCGATGTTCCCCCCCCCCCCCCCGAGGCAGCCCTCCCCTGCCCTGAGATCCGACGTCGTGATTTTTTCCAATACGGGGTCCCCAAAAGCATCGACCCATCCCCAGGACCGGTTTTTCATCCTGACTCGTTTTCTGACGGTCCCGAGGCCCGGCGAGGGCCCCTGGGGGCCGAAAACTGCGAAACACGTCCGTCTTGATTTGTTCAATGCGTTGGATCTCTGGGTATTATCGCTGCCCCTTCCCCGTTGCTCCGCCGTCAGGCCAGCGCTCGTCGCCGGGCGGGCAGGGGCTGGCACCGGGCCCCGCCGAGGAGCGGCCAGAGGAGGACCAGGCCTGGCCCTCGCGGCGCCGCCTCGGCAGGGGGGCGGGGAGGGCCCGCAGGGGGAGGGCGCTGGGCGACCGCGCACGTGCGAGGATGACGGGCCCCTGGGCCAGGGCGGCCCGGGGCCCAAGGGGGAAGGCTGGGGGGCAGGGTCTCGTGGGCCAGGGCCCGGGGGGGAGGAGGGTGACGTGCCACGACGACGGCGACGATGACGTCGACGAGGACGCTGGCAGCGGCGGCGGCGGCGGAAAGCTACGTACTACGCCCTCGGGAAGCACACCACGTGATCTTCGAGCGATGACGAAGGGAGCTGCACACCATATCGACGCACACGACGCACATCGTTTCCACACTACTTTGCAGGTTTTTCGAGAGTGGCAGATCGCTCCGACAGCGGTCGAATTGCCCGTGCGCAGGCTGAGCTGGTGCCAAAGCATCGCGATTGATTACAAGAACCACGGCCGCTTCCTTGCCATTTTTTGGGACGGTGCCGTTTCAAGATGCAGGCGGCGAGCAATCGCCCCGTTGTTGGCCCGACTCACGGCAGGAGGAGAGATCGCCACAGCCAGCTCGACGCACTCATGGGCATTTCAGCTAGCCGACGATCTACAGCGCCTGTCCACTCACCCGATTGGAGAATCATTTCTGGATCAGTGGCAGCCGCAGGTTGTAAAAGCACTTTGGGAGGATGAGGAGGTTCGTGACGCGTGTCTTTGTTGCGATACGAGGGCGATGCGAGCGACCTTCTTGACATCAAGATAGACCCCCCCAGAGACCAGCAGGCTCTCCGAGGCGATCCCATCTGTCGAGACAATCGAGGCGCACAGCGACGGCGAACACGATCGACCTTTCCGATGCAGTATCCTTGGATGTCAGGAGCGAGTCGGGTCTCTTGAACAGCTGGTGCCTCATCACACGAAACCGAGAACAGGCGGGCATGCATTACCATCAGCACCGGCGACACTACACCTGGACAACACACGTATTGCATGCCGCACCATCTTCCCTATTACTGACCATGCTGAGCGACATGTGCGACGATCGTGACAAGCTGGACGATGTATACATGACTTACCATATTACACGTACACATGCTGCGCTTCATCAGCTACGACATGTCCTCTAAGTGAATACGACCTATAGCCTAGACCCTGCATGACATCAGTATAATTTGGACCCTGATCAGCTACGACAGCATGTACGCACATGTCCTTCCGCCGGCATGCGGGTCGAGGCTTGAGCTTGTATTCAGGCGTGAGGTCGCCACGCGACCTGCACCTTCGATCAGCGCGGCGCCACCGCCGCCTCCAGCCTTAAGGCATCCTCGGCCAGTACGCGACACTGCTGCAGCTCGCCAGCAGATAAGACGAGGCATTGACAAGCTAGTGTGCGGAGGAGCCGCTGCGACTGATCAACTACCCTCCACGATCACTTTGGCTACGATTTCGGCAGGCTTCTCGAGTGCCGACAACACCTGAGGCCAATCAACCAATACAGACCACAGATTCGACATTTCCGCTTAATCTGCCGCGCGTACCCCATGCCGGAGAACGCACCCCCCCCCCAGGACAGCCAGCGGCCAGCGGCGGCAACAACGAGAAGTCGCTTCCGAACACTCGAGCACATGGGCGCTTCCAGGTGGACTCACCGAAGGGCTCACCGACATATGGCGAAGGATTCAGGCCCGTTCAGCCGCCAGTGGCCAAGTCACGGCTGACGGGCCCAACGCCACCGAAGGGGAAACCGCGGACGACAAGGGCGACGGCACGGGCAAGGATCAAGATGCAGAGCCTCAACGCAGGAAACGTCGAGGTGGACGGCAGACGTGGCGGGGGGACCCCTCTCAGAAGCAGCGACCCAGCAAGGACAATAACCTCTTGACGCTCTTAATGCCGACGCTGAAGCTGGTGCTACAGACCGCGCACAGGACGAGGCTCAACAGCTCGCTCGTGACGGGCACATACACGTGCAAGAAGGCACACCCCGTCATCGGCGCGGCGAGCAACGAGCTGGAGGGCTACAAGGCGACCGTGGACTCGCTGCGCCACTGCTCAGCGGAGGACAGGCAGAGGATGAAGGACATCGGCTCTCCAGCGCCCCGCCTGGGCCCCGCGTTCCTGGGGGCTCTCGCGGAGTGCGACATCGGGGCCGCCCTGAAGAACGAGATCGGCGAGTGTACTCGCACAAGTCCAACCCGCCCGACGAGAACATGCTTCCAGATATTCCCGAAGGCGACCTCGAAGATCGAAGACCTGACCAGTTTCGTACGACCCGAGAGCTGCTACGATACGGAAACGGTGAAGTTCATCACTGGGGCTCCCAAGGGAAGGCAGGGAGTTGATCATGCGGGCCTTCAGAACCGAAGGCGACGCCATCCATCATTAGGGAGTGGCCCCAGCAGGCTGGCTCGAGGTTGAGGAGGGACACTTATTGGAGACACTGGACGGTGGCCTATAACTTTCGTGCGTGGCGAAGTGATTCCAGGATCGACTTCGACCCATGAGCCCTCCAGGCCTTCGTCTTCGCCCCCTTCCCCAGCACGTGCGGTACTGAGGCTCGCGCCCCGCACTCCGCCTGCCCCGACGCTTGTAGCCAGACCAGCGTCCGACACACAGCAGCCTCTCTCCTTTGAGCCCCTTGACTTTGACGAGGCCTTTTCGCCGCAGATGAGGAAGCGGCTGATGCTGTGTATGGGTATCCCACCGCTTTCTGGCATGCTCGCTCTTCTGTGCAACGCCCACTTAGCGTTGCCCCCGTGCCTCTCTGCGACGGGCTTCACCATTTTTTGTTCTCAGGGCATCATCCTGTTATCTTGAGTCGACACCACCACCATCATCGTCATCATCATCATACTCACCACTCATCATTGTAGTCATCCTCCCTTGCCGCGTTGCTTCCCGTTTCAGAACGGACGATCGCCCTGGTGCGCACGCGGCCCTGGGGGGAACACAGTGCGGGAAGCGATGCGGCATTCCGCATTCTGCAACACAAAAGAGATCACACATTTTGGGGTAGCGTGGCGTTCTGCCGATTCTGGCCAACCGCGCTTCGGCGCGACACGTTATTCATTTCCCAGTCCCCAAACGTCAACGCCCCGAGCTTTTCCCGACCACCCGCCCCGCGGATCGGAGCGACGCGCTATCCCGTCGCAACGCGCAGCGTGTCGCCGGGGTCGCCGCGACACGGTAAGCAAACATTCCTGAACGCAGACGCCACCCACAGGCCAGCCGTGAAAGGGCGGCCTTTTGCTCAGACTGACCCAGACCCCCTGGAACCCCCCAAGGCAGCGCAAATCAGACTCCCCAAAAATCAGACCAACCCCCGTTTCATTGCGAAGTCTAGGGTCGGTTCGTGTCGTGTGGAAACGGCTGCGGCGCCAGCGCGGGCGTCCAGGGTTGAAGGTCGTCAGCGGCCAGAACTCGGCCAATTTGAAGCGACAGCAAATGCTGGAAGGCCACGATCGCTCCAGGTTTGAACGATCCACGCGGTGCCAGAAATCGATGTACAAGCCGTCACGACACGAGCTTGCCGTACCGATGGCGCAGCCCGCCGCTCGTCGTCGCTGCTGGGTTCGCCCCGAGACCTTGGCCACAGCGCACCCTGGGAAAAGTCCGGAGGCAGCGGCATCGTTGTCGTTTGTTTTCCTGGAAACGTGTCCTGGTGTTTTTGTTGTCCAGTGTTCGGTTTCCCTGCTGCTACGGCATCCCCGCGTTGGCTTTCATGGTGTGAGCGGGTTCCTTGTTTCTTTACGCGCTCTTTTCTCTGTCGCTTTCGTGCCTCAGTTCGCTTCCTGTGCACCCCCACCGCTTGCTGACGGGCGCTTGGTGTTCTTTGACAAGTCTGCAGCCGCTCAATTCAGACAAGTTCGGTTTCCCTGGGCCTGTTCACGTGCCCCGGCCCAGGATGAAGAACTGGCTCCCAGGGAAAGCACCGTGATGAGACCGTCGTGCACCGATTTCGGGGGCTGCTTGGGCCTTGCTCGGGAAGCGAGAAACTAAGATCGTTCAACAGTATGTAGGGGGTCGGCGGCGCTTGCGTCGTGAGTCTTGGGGCTCTCTTCGGGGACTTCGGTGGCCGACTTGGAGAGCTCTTGGGCCGTCTCGAAGCCATCTTGGGCCGTCAGGGAGCTCCCTGGGGCCGTTTCGGGGCCCTCTTGGGGAGAGGGAGTGGGGCTGTAGTGGGGGGGGGTCGGTCCGGAGCCCGCGCCCTGGAGGCGAGTCACGTACGAGTTCTGCACGGTGAGCGTTTTTGTCCCTCCCCAGGGTAGCGCTCGCTGCTGGGGCAAACCCTCCCCCCAGGTAGCTCTGATGATCCTCCTGGGTGGGGGGGGCTGGACCCCCCGCCTGATATGCTGGGGGGCGGACCCCACGGAGGTATGGCGCTGTGCTCACGGGCGCGGAGTGGTGGGGAAATGCATGCGATGGTGCTCACACGCGTGTTGTGGCGTTCGCAGGCTCCCCTCCTGTTGCGCCGCTGAACTCACAGGCATGGCGTGGTGCTTAAAAGGCATGTCTCGGTGCTCGCATGCGTGATGTGGCGCTTGCAGGCTGTTGCGGTGCGCGTAGGTCAAGCGGACTGACTGCGAAGGTGCCTTTCTCGGAGGGCGGCGGGTCGGAGGACCGATGTCTAGCGCCGTTGTCTCTGGGGGGTCGTCGCCGCCGACGGCACCCCTTCTCCGGTCGCCGCCACGGCCGCCGCCGCCGCCGCCGCAGTCGTCGTCCTCGTTGTTTGCCGTCGTTCGTCGTCGTCGTCGTTCGTCGTGGTCGTCGTCGTCGTCGTCGTCGTCGCGGTCATCGCCGCCGCACCCGCCGCCGTCGTCGTCGTCGTCGTCGGCGTCGGAGTCGGCCGTTCCTGGTCGATGCCTTGTAGCTTTGAGGGGCGCGGAGGAAGAGGGGAGGGAGGAAAAGGAGGAGAATGAGGATGTGCAAGAGGAGGAGGAGGAGGAGGAGGAGGAGGAGGAGATGAATGACGAGTCCTGAGGGCCTCTGTGGTTTGTGGCGAGCCCCGCAAAGAGGCCTCGCAAGCTACTAATGTGCCCGCTGGCACGTTTGGCGTTCTGGTGTACAAAGTCGTTGTGGTGCGCGGAGGCATTGTGGCGTGCACAGGCGATGCGGCACACATGGTTGCTGTGGTGTACACAGACGCTGTGGTGTATGTTTGTTGTGTGAGACCTTTTGCTTTGCACACGGAGTGGCACGGTTGCGCCACACACGCAGTGTAGTTGTTGAGCGGCGCACAGTTGTATAATTGCATAAGTAGAGCATGTGGCGCGCACGAACCAAAGGCAATCATTGCGACAGCGCATTGCCTTTGTCGGTTTATGCGGAGGCATTCGAGGACGAGTGGGCGGACACGTTTGCGTTGATGCCCGCCGCTTAGGCGCGCGGCTCCCTGGGCGTGCAATGCGATATTTGGATCTTGTGGCGGAGATCGCATGATTGAGTGCTGAATATGTTCGAGTTGCAAGACAGACTCTTGTTCATGATAGTGTGCTGAAAGACTGGTCCCTTGGTTCCGACGCTCGAGGCAGAATGCGGAAACGGACATCGATTAAGACCGAGAGAGTGGAGTGAGCCGCATGCAAGACACCAGCACGCCTATGTCACGCGGTTGAGCGACATCAATGTTGAATGCTGAGGCATGGAGGCGGCCTGGAGAAGCGCGCAGGCGAGTACGCCGAGTCGTTGGCATCTTTAAAGAGGCATTGCCCTCTCTGCCCCACTCTCTCTCTCTCTCTCTCTCTATCCCTCTTTCTCTCTCTCATTCTCTCGATTCATGCGCGTATATGTTTCTCTCTCTCTCTCTCTTTCTCTTCCTGTACTGCCCTTCTTTCTCTTTCCTTGATGCCATGTATTGGCCTCGTCGCACTTGCAACAGAGGAATCCTTCCGTCATTGACCTTCTGTTCTCACCACGCTTGCGGTTGATTCCATATCGCTACATCTATTACGCTCCCCAGGTTGTATCGTTCCCGTTCTGTCGCATGCATTCACAGAATGACAATCTGGCCAGCGAGGCCATCTCAATTGCCTCGGACACATTGGGTGCACGAAAGCAGGACTGCAATTTTATATATGAATGCTTTCCCTCGTCGTTTCCAGTTCGCCGTATACGTTTTGTATAAGGTAGCCTTCCAACGTAGTTTGAAAGCTCTCAGGATTTCAGCCCAGCATGCCCATTAGCCGCCCTGACCACTGGAACTGAACTCCTCAAATAACGAAAGGCCATCCCTGAAGCCCATACTCTCTGAGCGCTGCACATGGGCCCGTGGGAGACACGATGAAGGAAGTTTATGACTTGTTGTTCTCATATACCCATGGTGTTCACGCATGCCCCTTCCTGGTCATCTGTTTCGGCCCAGGTCAGGCACGCCCGTCGCTGCTCGTTCTCTGCGAGGCCACAGAGTCTGGCGGCTCTCACGCGACGAGACCTGTTTGAGCCAGCGATGCGCAGGCAGCACCCGCTCGTGGAGAATCTGCGCTGCCGTCGGACTCACCAGGCCCCCGTGCGCGGCTTTCGAGCTCGCGCCCCCCCTGAGCCTCGGGCGCCCGCAGGCGGATCTCGGGCCTGGGGAGAGACGGCGGGGAGCGGCGGGCCGGCGGGAGGGTGCAGGACGCGCGCGGTAAGCGCAGGCGGGCATGCGCAAGACCACGGCGGGGGTCGATCTTGAACGGACTCTTTCGGAGAGGGGAGGTCAGTCAGTCAGTGAAGCCATGCGTCCAGTAGGACGCGTGGGCGCAACGAAGCAGACACGCCAAATGCGCGCCAAATCGGGCGGCAGACACGCCAAACGCGTGGTCACGCGGCTGCGACGCGCCAAACGCGCGCTGGGAGGACGATGACAGGAGGAGCGAGATGATGATGATGACAATAAAGATATACGACAAATAGTGTGTCATCTCATGTTCCAGTTATGTTGACAAAATGTGTGCACTTCTGAAGTCCACGTAAGAAAAATCCAGAGTTCCGCGCGGACCTCCGAGAGTTGCTGCCTGTTGTGCATGCTTCCTTTCTGATGCTCTTGGGAGGGCCCTTCTGGGCCACCCGTAGGGAGCGCGACCACGTTCGTGCGCTTCTCGGGCAGGGCTGGACCAGAAGATTGCCCTTCTTCCGCGGCGCAGCGCGAGAGCGCGAAGTTCCGCGAGGTCTTCATGGAAGCGATTGCGGGTTTCGGCGGTTCTTGTTTCTGTATCTCGCTTCGGGACGCCTTTCCGCAGCTGCGCCTCATCAAGATCGTTTCGGGGGGGGCCGCATCCGCGTTCTGAGCTTTTCCTGCCTCCCCCGTCCCACGAGGCAGAGCGACACGCTATCAGCTTGCAGGGCATAGCGTGTCGCAGGGCCCGTCGCCGCGGCACGGGGCGCAGAAGTCCCCCACCGCAGGTGGCAGGATGCTCACCACTGGAGTGTGGCTCCCCGCCTTCCCCCCTCCGCGGCCCCGACCTCGCCGAGCCCCTCCGGCGCTGCGAGCAAGGCAAGGCCGTCCAGGCAATTCGAAATGGGGTGTTCCAGAGAGCGCAGCGCCCTCGGCGCAACGCGCCCGCAACGCAAGCCGGTAGATGAGGGGTGGTCACGCGGGTCCGCCCGCAGAAGGGGTCGGAATCAAGATTGAGACGTCAACCTTTCTGCATTCAGGATCTCGGGAGTCGGCCAGATGAGGCCATAGTACATGGAATCGCGGTGCCGTCCAGAACATGTTTTCGTTGTCCACCCCAAAGTTTGCATTGCATCGCCGATTCATTGGCGATGCGGTGTGATCCTCCGACCCTGTCCACTGCAGCCCCATTTCGGCGGCTTCCAGTCCGCTGGCCCGTACAGTCAACCCGCATAGTAAGGATGAGCGGCTTTCCAAGGTTACCCTTGCATCCCCCCCCCCCTGGGCCCATCTTTGGCCGCTTCCGCTGGCCGCGCCCCGCTCGCAAAGTGTCGACGTGGCCTTCCAAGGCCCTCGCGTCCTTACATCGCGCGTCCTGATTCTACGGGTTGGTGTCTGTGTGCCGGCCGTGTCCCCGCCAGCATGGGTCGTTTGCCTCCTCGGGCGCCCTCTGCCGTCGGCCACGAGCGCGAGCGCTCCGGGAGGCCCAGCCCCCTGCGAGGCCCCGGACTGTGGATCTGATGGGCCTGCTTTCCACCACCACCAGCTGGAGGGGGGAGGGGGTCCTCCTCCCCCTCTTCTTCTTCCTCCTCCTCATTCTCCACCGCCTTCTCCCCTCGTGGTGGAAAATGGGCCCCAGGCGAGGCCACGGATCTTTGGCGTTCGAAAATGGGGGGGCGATAAATGGGGGGGCGTCGAGGGTTGCACGACAGGGGCCCTAAAAGGGCCCTAAACGAGCCCCCAGGGCCCCGAAGAGGTACGAAGGTTGCACGAAAGGTGCACCTTTCTTACCCCCCCATCTATCGCCCCCCCAGTCGTGAACGCCTGAGGATTCTGCAGCGGGCGGGCCCCGCAGACGTCGGCCGGGGCGCGGGGGCGCGCCTCTGCGGCACAGCGGCGGCCCCGCCTGCGATCTCAGGAGGCGGCCTGTTTCGGGGCCTCCCTCCGCGCCTCCACCCTCCGCCGAAGAGGGTCCTCTCGTCATCCTCGCTCCGATTGTAGCTGCTCCCCGCTGCAAGCACTACGGTGGAGGCGTTTGTTAAGGAATAGTCCCAGGAGACGCCAGACCTTGGAGGATTCCTTACCCAGTGAGGGCGGCGGCGGTATCCATGGCCGATCCACGATTGGCGTTCCTCTGGTCTCCAGACCCTGGGTTCCTTATCTAAGGGTTCCAATGCCCCCATCGTAAGTCGGGCCTGCCCCTCTCTACAGGAGGAATATTCAAACATAGTCAAAAAATACAATGGGGACGATTGTTTTGAACATGTTTGGAACATGTTTGGAACATTGTTTTGTCTATTTTTGAGTGTTCGTCCAAGATCCGCCTGTAGGGGAACATGCCCGACTCAATTTTAGCTGTTCCTCGCTGCAAGCATTGCTGCCTCTGGTTACGCTGCCGCCGCGTCTGAGGTCATCTCTCGTCCTGCTCGTTCTGCTGCCAGCTGCTCCTCGTCGTGGGTGTTGCTGCCTGCCTCCGTCCCTGCACCTCGTCGACGGGCCTCTCTCGCCCTTCCCGCTCGGACTGTACAGTCGGGGTGGATTGACGAGGACACGCGAGAGGACGCAAGACTCTTCCGAGGGCCATGTTGCCATATGAGTATGGAAGCATTGGTCGCGAGGAACAGGACGCAAGGGTGCCCTTGATTTGGCGGGGTCGACCTACTAATCTGCCTCGACTGTAGCTGCTCCTCGCCGTAAGGAGTAGTACTGCTGCCCGCTGTTTCGTCGTGGCCTGCCTGGGCCGAGGGGGGGCAGCGAGCAGCGCCGCCGGGCCCCGAGAGGCAGATGGAGAGCCTGAAGCGCAAGCGCGCCGCGGCGGCCTCGGCCTGCTCGCAGCTCCTGCACACCGCGCACCGGGAGGCCCTGCAGGCGCACCTGAAGGCGCCAGGGAGGGCTACGGCGGCCGAGCCACGGCCGGAGCAGCGGTTGCAGAAATGATGGGCGTGTTTTCCACGACCCCCACCATAAGTTGTAGGGGAAGGGGGTCCTCCTCCTCCTCTTCCACCTCCTCCACCTCCTCCTCCTCCTCCTCTTCGTCCTCCTCTTCCTCGTCATCCTCCTCCTTCCCCCCTCCAGCTTATGGTGGTGGTTGTGGTGGAAAACAGGCTCATCAAGAAAGGCCACTGCGCTGCACTCCGTGTCCGCGCAGGGATGGCCCAGCATTGGTTCCAACGAGCAGAAAAGGGGGGAGAGGTTCGAGGCTCTGCGTTCTCGAGGAGGTTTTTGTGCCCTTTTCGGGCTCCGTGGGCCGTCCTCGGGCCCTGGGCAGAGTCGGATCTGGGGTGAGAAATTGCACCAGATGGACCCGGGGAGGGGTCCGGGGACCGATTCTGAGCGGATTGGGATCCATCCGCCTCCCTGACCAGGGCCCCAACCAGTTCAAACCCCCTTGCCGCCTCCAACGCCGGAGTGGCACTTGGTGCGCGGCTTTGGGGGGGCGCGGGGGGGCCCAAACGCGCAGGCCGGTGTTGCCGCATCGCATGCAGCGATCGGCAAGCCGCGCGCAAGGTCATTCTTATCAGATCTCGGGGGTGGACAGACCTCCTACCCTGACACGTCGATTAGTGAATTGGCCGCTTTCGGTTCGCGGGAGGGCGTCGCGGCCGTCAGTTTTGCGGGTCCAGGTCCGTCGGTTTCGGCCCCCAGCCGTTTTCATTAAGGGGAGATCTACCAAAGGGAGGTTTGTCCACCGCCGATGATCAGGGTCAGTGCGTGCAGCAGCCACACCACCTCCGCTGCCGCGAACGTCGCATGACTCAGTGGGTGTGTAAGACAAGGCATCAACACCCGTCGCGGTATTTTTGCACGATGGGGTCCGACGAATCATCAATCGGTGCTACCTGTGCGTCAACTAACAACATGTCGTTTCACTTGGCCCACCGAGCAGTGATAAGCCTACTTGGGTGAGGACTGGTAATTTGCGTTTTGTCGCAGCCAGAGATTGGCACACTTAGAAATAAGCGCAAGGCCGATGTCTGGTTCAAGCGCTGGCGGCTGGCCTGCAGCGAGGCCCTCATGGCCACCTCGCGCTTGCCCAGGCCTTCGGCCTCATATGCACGAGGATGGAGCTGGCGCTGCGAGGCGGGTCATCATCAATAGCTACTTTTTGCAGACGTGTATTGGTGCTGCGAGACCACTGCGGAGCCTACCAGGTACGAACTCACAGTGCTGAAAGGATACGTAGCAGCACGCAGGACCCGATTCGGGAAGGCCTTCGGCGAAGCAGCTATGATCATCATATTGGGGCGTCGTCGAGTCCAGGGGATGACGAGGCGGAAGTGGAAGAGAGGAATGAGAGGAGGAGGGGAAGGAGGAGGAGGACCAGTGTAAAGCCAAGACCCATCAACGATATTGCAATAAACCCTCGCTTCAAGCTCCCTCTTCTTAGGCCCTACGCCCTACAAGGGTTCATTTTCACTGAGGGAGAAGCCCCGTTGGAAGACAGCCGTTTGGAAATCCAGAGCCTTGCCAGAACACTCTTCCTTGGATTTAAACGCCGCGAATCACCGTTTCTGATGTGTCTTGACGATCTCGAATCATGCCAGAACACCGTTCCTGGGACTTCAACGCCGCGAGTCAACGTGACCGTTGCGCCCTGATATTCCGACATCGTGACAAAATACAACTTCTGGGACGGTAACCATGCTAATCCTTCGGACTATTGCACATTTGCAAGACGAATGTGCGCCGCGCTCAGGCGAGAGCTTTATTTTGAAAAGGAGCCGCCTTCCATCCGCGAAGCTCTTGCAATTGGTTGGCCGCATCCTCAGTGGGTTCTTGCTTTCTAGAACGCCTCCTCCTTCTCCTGCTCCTCGTCTTCCTCCCGCTGCCCTGCTGCTCCGCTGAACTGCTACTGCTAATGGTTTTGTACTAGTACTTGTTTGTTTTACTTGTACTACTACTGCAAATGCCGGTGCTACTGCTACTATTATGACCACTACGACTACTACTACTACTACTACTACTACTACTACTACTACTACTACTACTATTGCTACTACTACTACTACTACTACTACTACTACTGCGACTACTTCTGCTACTTCTACTACCACTGCTACGACTACTACCGCTACTACGACTACTACTACTACTACTACTACTACTACTACTGCTACTACTACTACTACTGCTACTACTACTACTACTACTACTACTACTACTACTACTACTACTACTCCTACTACCGCCACGTCCACTACTACTTCTTCCTCTACTATTGTGACTACTACTACGACTACTGCTACTACTACTACTACTACTACTACTACTACTATACCCCGACTGATACTACGACCACTACTATCACTAATACTAGCATTCGTATTGCTATGATTTCTATTTCTACTACTACTACGACGACGACTACTACTATTGCAACTACGGCTACTAGTTCTATTACCACTACTACTACGACGACGGCTCTTTTTACTACTACCACCACTACAATTCGCTGTACGACGACGACCACTACGTCCACTATTTCCAGTACCACTCTTGTTACTACTACTACCACTATCACTACTACTATTATTATCTATTCATCTTTCTTCCAACATTTCTACCACTATTACTATTTCTATTAATTTTTCCATTGCCATCACTACGACTACTATTCCTGTCAGAACTATTCGTGCGACCTCTGTACCTACTAGTACGACTACTACTACTACTACTACTACTACTACTACTACTACTACTGCTACTACTACTACTACTACTACTACTACTACGGCCACTATTGCTATAATTATTTGTATTACTAGAGCTACTAGTACTAATAGTACACCTGCCACTGCGACTACCATTGTTATTACTACTACGACTGCAACTACGACCACGATTACTTCTACGGCTACGGCTACTGCTACCATCACTTCTTCCAGTGCTACTAGTGTTCCCAGTCTTACTTTCCCGACTATCACTACTACTACTTCTTTGAGAACATCTACTAGTATTCTTACTGCGGTTACTACTACTACTACTGCTACTACTACTACTACTACTACTACTACTAGTACTACTACTACTACTACTTCTACTACTACTAGTACTACTACTCCTGCTACGATTGTTCTACCACTACGATTACGACATTAGCACGACTACTAGTATTATTTTTGGCATCACTATTGCTACTATTTCTTCGACTTGGTTGCTACTACTACTACTACGGCTACTACTACTACTACTACTACTACTACTACTACTGCTGCTACTGTTACTAGTACTACAACTACTACTACTCTTACTACCACGACTACTACGATTGTCACTGCTACTGCTGCTACTATTACTGCACCTGCTGCGACTACTACCACTACTACTACTACCCCTGCTCTTGCTACGGCTAGTACCATCACTACTACTACGACTACTACTACTACTACTACTACTACGGCTACTGCTACTACTATTACTACCACGACCACTACTACCACTACTCCTGCCACGACCACTGCCACTACGACCACGACTCCTGTTTGCACGGCTACCACCTACTACCCTGACTGACACCATTACTACTACTACTACTACTACTACTACTACTACTACTACTACTACTACTACTACTACTATTGCTGCTACTACGACTACTGCTACTATCTCCACGACTATTAAGGCTACTATGACCACGGCTGCTACTACCACTATTACTACTACTACTACTACTACTACTACTACTACTACTACTACTATTACTACTGTTACTACTACTACTATTACTATTACTACTACTACTACTACGATTACTACTACTACTACTACTACTACTACTACTACTACTACTACTACTACTACTACTACTACTACTACTACTACTGTCATCACTCTTATGATGGCTGCCACTGCCACTACCATTACCACTACCACCGCTACCTTGACCACTACCTTTATTATTTGCTAATACAACCCAATGCTACGACCACTATCCCTACCACTGCCGGCAATATGACCACTGCCCCCGCTCTTGCGATTGCTATTATCAGCGCTACCACCGCCACAATTGGTATTACGCCACCACCACCACCACGACCACCACCACCACTTCTCCCAGTACGAGTACCACCACCACCACCGTCACTAATATTAGGCCCACTACTGCCATTACTACTACTACTACTACTCCTACTACTACTACTACTACTACTACTAGTACTACTACTACTACGACGACGACGACTACTACTACTACTACTACTTCCAGCACGATTGCTAGCATTACTACCTTTATTATTATATAACTACTGATCTACTACTCCTGCCACCACTATTAGTACTACGAGTACCATCAGTACCATCTATTACTATGACTACGACTACTACTACCACGGCTACTGCTACGACGACGGCTACTATTTCTACTACTACTCCGACTACCACTGCTACTACTTTTCCTATTACTGCTGCTGGTACTACTACTACGGCCACAGCTATTATCTTTAGTATTACTACAACGGTTACGACTCGTAATATCAGTTTCACTAGTACGGATATCAGTATGACTCGCACAACTACTACTAGGAGTATTAGTACTAGTGCCAGTATTACTGCTACGACTACGACTGCCACTTCTATTCCGATTCCTATTGCTACTACGTTTGCTACTCAGATGGTTAATGGTGTTACCAATTCATGTACTTTCTACCACTACGACCACTACCTCCACTCTCATTATTTCCATTACGACCACACCCAACACCACCACGACCATTACGCGACCACCGCCCCCACGTATCAGTATTCCGGCCGCCATTTCGGCCGCCAGCTCCGTTATTTTGATGATTGCCAGTACTAGTGCTAGTATTGCTACGGCGACGGCTACTACTTCTACTACTACCACGACTACTACTACTACTACTACTACTACTACTACTACTACTACTACTACTACTCATACTACTACTACTACTGCTACTACTACTACTACTACTACTACTACTGCTACTGCTACGACTACTACTTTTACTACTACTACTACTACTACTACTACTTCTACTACTACTGCTACTACGGTTTCCATTGCCACCGCTCTTGCTACGACTATTTCTTCTACTACAACTACGCCGAGTTCGGCTACTAGCACTACTACGACTGCCACGATTACTGTTATTCTTACCATAACTACTACCATTACCACCACTACGGCTACTACTGTTATTTCTTCCATGGCTGCTATTCCTAAGAGGCCGCTACTACTACCACCATTACTTCTAGTTCGGGTACAGCAGCGACTCCTACTTCTACGACGACGACGAAGATTATTATTATTACTGTTAGTACTATAACTATTACCACTACCACTGCTACTAGTACTAGTACTAGTACTAGTACTAGTACTACTACTACTACTACTACTACTACTACTGCTACTACTACTACTACTACTACTACTACTACTACTACTACTACTACTGCCACCACTGCTACCACTACCGCCACAACCACGGCTACTACTCCTAGTAGTGATTACGACAAGTACTACTATTACTGCAACTATTACTATTACGGCGACTTTCTTCGGCAACGCTGCCGAGGACGACGACGACGACGACTATTACCACTATTATTAATGCTACGACTATTATCACTACTGCTATTACTGCTTCTAAGATGTCTGTTACTACTACTACTACGACTACTACTACTACTACTACTACTACTACTACTACGACTACTACTACTACTACTACTACTGCTACTGCTACTACTCCTACTGCTGCTACTACTACTACTACTACTATTACGCCTACGACTACCACGGCTATGATTTCTATGAGTGGTACCGCGACAGCTACTACGGTTACTACTGCTACTACTACTACTACTACGACTACTACTACTACTGCTACTACTACTACTACTACTACTACTACTACTGCGACTTTCGTCGGTAACGACGTCGGGGACGACGACTGCGACACTTACTATTACTTTTACTATTACGACGACGACGACGACGATGGCTACTACTACTACTAATACCACGATTGCGACTAGTTCTGCTACTAGTACTACCGCTACTACTACTACTACTACTACTACTACTACTACTACTACTACTACTTCTACTACCTCTACTACTACTATTCCGATTTCTACCTGACCTACTACTACTACTGCGACTACGACTACTATTGTTGAGCATGGTAAGACGACTGCTACGGCTATTAGTACGATCGGTACTACTACTACGATTACTACTACTGCGACTAGTACTACTACTACTACTACTACTACTACTACTACTACTACTACTACTACTACTGCTGCGGCTACTACTACTACTTCCACTGCTACTACTAGTAGTACTACTACTGCTACTACTACCACTACTTTTGCTACTACTGCTGCTACTCTTACGACTAATAGTAGTAGTCGTAGTAGTGTAGTACGAATACAACTATTACGATTGCTACTTTTTCTACTACTACTACTACTACTACTAGTACTACTGCGGCTACTACTACGACTACTGCAACTATTACTGCTAGTACAGTTTTAAGTTCGACGACTACTACTACTACTGTACTACCACCTCCACTTCTACCACACTACTACGAATACTGTTACTACTACTACTACTACTACTACTACTACTACCACTGCTTACTACTACTACTACTACTACGACTACTACGACTACTAGTACGACTACTGCTACGAATAGAACTACAACTACTACCACTACTACTACGACTACTACGACTACTACGACTACTACTACTACTACTACTACTACTACTACTACTACTACTGCTACGACTACTACTACTACTACTACTACTACTACCAGTACTACTACTATTACTACTACTACCACTACTACTACGACTACTACTACTACTACTACTACTACTACTACTACTACTACTACTACTACTACTACTACTACTACTACTACTACTACTACTACTACTACTACTACTACTACTACTACTACTACTACTACTACTACTACTACTAGTACGACTACTACTACTACTACTACTACTACTACTACTACTACTACTACGACTACGATTCCTATTACTATTACGACTACTACGACCAGCACGATTACTACTCCTACTCCTACTCCTACTACTACTACTACTACTACTACTACTACTACTACGACTACTACTACTACTACTACTACAATTGCTATTCCGATTTCTACTACGAGTTTTACTTTACTACCCATCCCACCCCTCCAGGGAGGCCCCACTAGTGAGCATGGTATCGGCGCGCCATGCCATTTATCACGATTCGCCCCCTTCCCAGCCCTCCAGGGAGCCTTGGTGCGCCATGCTATGTATCAGGGTTCATGTCCCCCCCCACCCCTCCAGGAAGGCCCCAGACTCGCGAGCAGGGTATCGGCGCGCCATGTTATTTATCAGGTTTCGCGCACCTCCCACCCCTCCAGGGGCGCCCTGCCAGAGCGATCTTGGTATCGGCAGACCAAGTTATGTATCAGTATTCGTGCCACTGCCGCGCCTCCAGGGAGGCTCTTGAATCGCGAACAGAGTATCGGCAAGCCGTGTTATTTATCAAGTTCCATGCCCCTCCCCACCCCTCCAGGGAGGCACCGCCAAAGCGAACAGGGCATCGGCGCGCCATGTTCTTTATCAGGTTTCGCGCACCCCCTACCCCTCCAGGGACTCCCTGCCAGAGCAAGCAGGGCTTCGCCATACTATGTTATGTATCAGGTGTCGTGCCCCTTCCCGCCCCTCCAGGGAGGCCCCAGAAACGCGAGCAGCGTATCGGCAAATCATGTGACTTATCATGTTCCGTGCCCCTCCCGAACCTCCAGGGCGGCCCTGCCAGAGCGAGCAGGGCACCGGCGCGCCATGTTATTTATCAGGTTTCGCGCCCCTCTCGCACCTCCAGGGAGGCCCCGCCACAGCGATCTGGGCATCTTCGCGACATGATATATATATATATATATATATATATATATATACACATACATATACATATATCAGGTTTCGCGCCCTTCCCACCGCTCCCAGGGAGGCCTCGCCACAGCGAGCAGGGTATCGGCAAACCATCTTATGTAGAAGGTCTCGCACTCCCCATCCCGTAAGGGAGGCCCCGCCAAAGCGAGCAGGGGTTCGCCATGCGATGTTATTTATCAGGTTTCGCGCCCCTCCCAGCCCTCCAGGGAGGCCCCGCCAGAGCGAGCAGGATATCGGCGCGCCATGTTGCTTATCAGGTGCCGTTCCTCTCCCACCCTCCCAGGGAAGTCCCGCCAGAGCGAGCAGGGTATCGGCTAGCTATGTATTAGGTGTTGTGTCCCTCCCACCCCTCCGGGGAGCGAGCAGGGCATCGGCCTGCCATTTCAAAGTGAGGGGGCCGAACGGTCATTCACTGTCCCTGGGTGCGTGGCTGAAGTAGGGATCCACGGCGAGGATTATGCTTGTTGTTTTGTTGCGTCGTCCCCCCTGCGACCCGCCCGCGACTCACCCGCGACCCACCCGCGACCCACCTGCGACCCACCCGCGACCCAGCCCACGACCCACGACCCACCTGCGACCAACCCCGTGACCCGCCCGCGACCCACCCGCGACCCACACGCGACCCACCCACGACCCGGCCCGCGACCCCCCCGCGACCCACCCGCGACCCACCCTGCGATCCACCCACATTGCTTTAATGAAAAAATCGGCGCCTGCGGCGAGCTTCTTCAAAGCCTCGCAGACTGACGACGTCCTCGCCGCCCCCTCACTCTTATCCGCAACTGCGGGGTCCTTCGTTATTTATCAAGTTCCATGCCCCCCCCGCACCTCCACGGAGGGCCCGCCAGAGCGAGGAGGGTATCGGCATACCAAGTTGTTTATCATTTTTCGCTCCCCTCCCACCCTCCAGGGACGCCCCGCCAGAGCGAGCAAGGTATCGGTATACAATGCCATTTACCCGGTTGCGCGCCCCTCCCACCCCTCCAGGGACGCCCCGCCTGAGCGAGCAGGGCATCGAAATACCATGCTATTTATCAGGTGTCGTGCCCCTCCCACCCCTCAATAGTGGCCCCGCCAGACCGCGGCTGTCGAGGGTGCCCTCCCCGAAGCCCACGACTGAATGACACTCTGATGTGAGGAACTCCGATAGCATACTTCACATGAAAGTGCGCAACGCTCAGGCGAGAGTCACATCTTGAAAGCGGGCCGCCCTCCATCCGTGAATCTCTAGGAAATTCCATGACGAACCTGCGCGGCGCTAAGGTGAGAGCCACAGTTGGAAGGCGGGCCGCCCTCCATCCATGAAGCTGTTGCACATGGCAAACTTCGGGGCCAGAAAGGGGCGAGGAAGTCTCAGGCGAGAACGCCCAGCCCGCTGTTCGACCAGCCTCGGGGTGCGACAGGGCGGAGTTGGCTGTTGAGGACGAGGGATTCGGACGGGGCTAGGACGAGGATGCATCCGTCCAGCGCGTTCCGGAACGTTCTGAGAAGGCCGCGGCCCCCGGGGACATCCTCCGGCAAACGCCAGATCTCAGAGATTCTCGATCTTAGCCTCACACGATCTCATCCTCGTCCTGGCTCCGTCTCATCTACGGAAGGGGGATGCTGTTTTCTTCCCAAGGAAAAAGGGATGGAGGAGCAGACCGAGAAGTTTTGGCGCTGGGTGCGGCGACATCTGCGCGTTTTTGTTCTGAGGCCGCGCTCCTGCCAGCCTCGTCGCGACGCTCGGCCCGGCCGCGAGGCGGGGCGCCGCTCCGCCCAGCTCGGCCCTCCTTCTGCTCCCCGCCGCCCCCGTGCGAGGCGCTGCTCGCCGCCGCCTCCGCCTCCGCCGGCCGGGCGCTCGAGGGCCCCCGCCGGCGCCACGGGGGGGCGCTTGCCATCAAGCAGTGGCGAAACGTCCAGGCGTGCCTATAGGCCTACCAAACAATGTTCTAAGAACTGTTGGTGGTTTCTACGAAATGTTCTTAGAACATTTCTGGCCGTTATTGTCTTGTTCGAACACATCGGGCTCATGTTCTACGAACATCGTTTTGGTATTTTTGGGGTTCTTAGAACATGTCATGGTAGGCCTATAGAAATGCCGGGACGGTCGGTCCCTGCTCAACTTATGGGGACTTGCTCTCGGCACTGGCTGCGCGCGAGAGTGGCGAGCTGCAGGGCTCCTTCTTGGTCGAGGTGCGGGGCCTTCGGGCGATCGTCAGCTAGCGCAGGGCTTCCTCACTCGGGCTGCGTTCCAGCAGCTGCGCCGCGCAGAGAGCGTGCCGGGCGTGCCCGGATCGTCCTGAGCGCCCGCCAGAGACCCGAGTTAATTACGGCCCGAAGGCCAAGCGACCCGCAGCCAGAGTGAATTTTTGGGCGCGGTTTTTGGGGGGCCGCGGGGTGCCAAACCCAAGCACCGAGCAACAACAAAAATTTCAATAGTATGCAGTCTCATCGCTGTAACCATAGTCGCCGGGCATGACCTAAGCGTTAGCATGTCTTGCTGGCTGAGGCAAGTCCTGCCACCGTGCCAACCAAGCACCCACGGATGCGACTGTTCGAGGGGGCGCACGGGAGGCTGTAACATGTAAAAAGAAAAAGGAGGACGGCCGTCACATGTGACACGTTTCGTCCGCACTTCCTGAAGAGCCTTCATGGCACCCATGTGGACCGTCTTGGTGGTGTCTGGGGCTTCCGTGGGGCTGTCCTGCTGGGTCTTTCGTGGCCCTCTTGGGCCGTCTTGGAGGGCCTCGTGGGCCAGCCTGGAGCTTTCTTGGGTCGTCTTGGGGGCCATCTCAGTCGTCCGGGGGGTCTCTTGGGACATCAGCCAATTCCAAGCACTCATCGCAATCGCCGCCGCATGGGTTCTGCAAACCAAGTTGCGGGCGGGTGGGTGGGATGATTGCACGAGCAGTGGGGTTGACAACTCGTTGCGAACTGAAATCAATTCCCTTCTCTATGAGAAAATTTGGATCTACCCCGCCCCAGGGGTTAGCGGAACATTTTTTGGTATTGCAAATTACAAACGGTTTCACCCCATCGCCCATCTTAATTACATATGAGTTCGTACCAACCCAGCAAGGGCGGAGTTTCCCCACCTTTTGTTTTATCCTCTGTAGCAAAAAAACAGAATGCGTGCGCATCCGTTGTTTTGTTTCACGCATCATCATGTCCTCACACTCCCTTGAAAAAAACAGGGCGACGTGCGCACGCGCGCGTCGTCGCGCGCGCATGCCGTTTTTTGTTCAAGTAACAATTAAGTTGTTGTTGTAACTTCAGTGTTCAAAAAGCTTGCGCTCGCGGTCTTGCGGGTTTTTCTATGATTGTTTAGACCCCATTTTTCCAGACATTCATCGAATTCTGCCAAGCGGGCCTCTCGCGCCGCACGTCGAACTCATTCGAACGCCCTTGCGCGCGTGCTGGGGTGGCCCGGTCCACGTCAAAGAAAACCACGCGGGCCACGCGCGCGTCTGCCGCGCACGAGTGTCGAACTCTTTCAAAAACTTCAAAACCATCATCGCCGACAAGACGACATCTTGAACGTTATTTGCGGGCGTGATCAATATCGGCGCCGTCATTGGCCTTGCCGTCGTCACCGCCACCATCGCCACTATCACCGCTACTCTCATAATCGTGTCTACCGTTGTCAGCGTCGCCATGATACCCCGCCAGCCCAAATCACCGACTTGCATGTAGGTGCCCGTTGGGAAGTGCCCAACGGTCAGCACCATCGCGGCCGCGTCGGTCGCGCCAAACTAGCTGGCCGCTGTGCGCGCATGCGGGGGCTGGCGCGGCCGCAAACATGCACCAGGCAACGCCAAGCAGTCATCGCAATCGCCGCCGCATGGGTTTTACAAACCCATCAGCGGGTGGGTGGGTGGGATGTTTGTACAACAATCATAAAATGTGTCACTTCGTTATTTAAATAAATTACGCGACATCGGGTCCACTACGTACACGTGCGACGAATAGCTTGCAACATATTGTATCACATCTTTTTCCACAACACAACTTACGCCACATAGCTGGCACCATCCATCTTGCGCTTCACTCTCTGCACCACATCGTTCGGACCATATCATATTTGATACATTCACAGTGCAAGAAATTCTAGTTTGGGGTCCGCGCTGGCGGTGGCAAACATTATTTTCGGTAAGATGTTTTCTCGTGTGCCTAGTGCCTCCAGCATCGGTGCCCTTTCCCCTTCTCAGCCCCCGCGCACGCGCTGAGGCCACGGTGTCGCTGCTGCGGCCTCCGAAACAGTTGGGCGCTTGCTGCCAGGGGTGCTCGCGGGGGGGGGGACAGTTCAGTCGAAGAGATGACGGCCACCGGCTTAGATTAGGGAGGGCCCAGAGATCCCCGCATCGTCGGAAAATCTCGCCGGGAGGTTGTTTTATATAATTTTTCAACCACTGGGGCCTTTGCCAGGTCCTGGGGCCATCGCGAGCCGATTCGGGATGAATAGTCGGTCCCGCGGAAGTGGTCTAGACCTCCAGGGGTCCATGCTGTGACAAGTCATTGCCTCGGACGACTGGGGTCGTCTAGGCATCCGGCGGCTCAACAGAATCGAGACGCGACGCCCCCGTCTCTCGCAATATTCTTTTGGCGACTGGTTTTGGGCTTCGGAATATTAAGAGGTAGACTCGGGGTGAAAAGCCTCTTCCTGGTGAGGATTGAGATTGAAGGTTCAGGTGTCCTTTCCCAGCGAGGCTAAAGACCAAAGCTTCGAAGGTCTTGAACATCATCAAGACGGGGTCGCCTTCAACTTCAGCTAGCTAGGGTGTTGAGAGGCCTAGGGATTCCGGGAAAGAGGGAGGAGAAGGTATGGGTCCTCTCCTTCTTTCCTCCCCCTCCTCCTTCCTCATCGTCCTTCTGTATCCTCATCCTTCCTTCATCCGATTTCCTTATAGATAATCCTCCCTGTCGCACCCCGAGGCCGGTCAAAAGGGCGGGCCGGGCGTTTCGCGTGAGATTTTATCACCACATATGATCCCGAAGCTTAAACAGTGGCAACAGCTTCGCAGATGGAGGGCGTCTGGTACTCAAAATGCGGCTGTCGCCTTAGGTGCCGCGCGCATACTTTTAAAATTTTGCAGCAGCTTCGCGGATTGAGGGCGGGTGGTTTTCAACATGTGGTTTTCGCTTTAGCGCCGCGGACGTTCGGCGCACGCGCGCGACGACGCGCGCGTCTGCACTTCGTCTTATCTGTTGCAGAGGATTCTCGCGACGGCACGCGCGCAAGGGCGTTCGACAGATTTCGACATGCGCGCGCGACGCCCGTTTGATAGCCTGTTGTGAAAATTTTGAAAAGCCAGCGGTTTTCTTAAGAAAGTGTTTTAGCAAATCAGTGTTGCGAAACCTTTTGTTGTTGTGTGTGTGTGTGTGTGTGTGTGTGTGTGTGTGTGTGTGTGTGTGTATTTGTGTGTGTGTTTTTTGGAGCCCGATTGCGAAATTTTTCCGACACCGAAGGTTATTGACGGGTTTCTGGCATGCGCGCGCGACGACGCGCGCGCGCACTTCGTCCTAGTCTGTTGCAAAGGATTCGTGTGAAAGTGTTATGCTAGAACAAACAATGTCACCGCATAATGTTTTTTTTCCCCAGGGGAACCTCAAGGGGGGGGAACCCGGTTGGCCTGGGACATTGCGATTTCATATTTAGGATGGACATGTGGTCAGAATCATATTTGATTTACATGCCCGAAAAGGGGGCGATAACGCTGGGGGGGGTAGAGTCTATTCTCTTTTTAGAAAGGAGAATTCACGGCCCGAGTAGCCAAGTAGCCCGCGCATGCAAGTTCAGATGGATATGGCGATCGGGGCTTCTTATCTTACCCCTTTCTTGAACGGCCTCTGAATACCTTCCTCGCCAGGCCCCAGTGGCCCCAGGAAACAGAAGCTTCCGTGGTCCAGGAGTTCAGGGTTCCTGGAGCGGCTGGAATTCCTCCTGGAGGATCGCGGTACATGTATACCGTTTTCGGGGAGGCCACCGACCCCGAGCCGATGCCACCGGTCTCCCTGCAAGCCTCAGTCGCCGCCGTGGGCGCCGCGTGGGTTTATTTTTTGGGCGACATGTCCACGGCGCCCAGCAGTGCTACCGACGCGCCGCTGCGGAGTTCGAGGCGGCGCGCCCCGGCCCCAGCTATTCGGCGGATCCCAGCCAAGGCTGTCGAGGCCAAGGACAGGGGGAGATGGGGGAATGCAGCAGCAACTTCCAGATAGCCACGCAATCGAGTCATCGACATCCAACGAGGGGTGGAGGAGCAGGACTTGGAACTGCAGCAGGCCCATCCTGACCTAGCAGACCCACCTGTCAAGTTAGACGTTGCTGCCGAATTTGAAGCTCTGTGCGCCAGCGACAGGAAATGTATACAGGCGACCCTTGTGGCGTCCGAGAACATGGAGCTAGTTGCCGAGCCCGCCGCGAAAGTTTTCGATGACCTCGGATCGGAGATCGCCGTGGTTCTCAACAGTGAGATCGCGAAAGATAAGTCCGATGATCGGCAGTCCTGGAAGCCTTGGGCCAAGGGTCGGTGGGTCCATCGGTGGAATAGTTGTGTTACTTCGTGGCAAACGTCTCGCGCCTGGGGCCCCGCCGAAGCCCGATGGCCAGGCCGCCCGCTTGACATGCTGGACATGCTGGAGGCAGAGCAGAAACGCTTCAGTAGTTCAGTCTTGCAGATTCCGCAGTGCCAGATCTTCTGCAAGCTCAGCTGCGAGGTGAAGACCTCGCAGACACTTCGCCAGACCTTCTTCGAGCAGCCAGTAGATGCTTCAGTATCACCGCGGCCAGGACCTGGGACGGGCTCCATCCCGGGCATTTCAGCTTCCTGCAAGATGCCCAGCTGGACATCGTGCGCAGGCTCCTCAGGCCCATTGGAAAGGTTGGAGCTTTCCCCACCCAAATCAGAGTGATCGTCGCAGCCCTAACCGAAAAGAGCAAGCCAGGTTCCACCCCGGGCCAAAACTACAGGGGAATCTGCATGATGCCCGGTCTCTGGAGAGCTAGGGGAAAGCGTCGACAGCTGGAGTTCAGGAATTGGGAGCGAGCTTATCCTCGGAGATCTGTTGCGCACCAAGCTGGGGAACAAAAAGAGTTTTAGATGTCGCTTTCGAGCGAGCCATGCAAGCTGAACGGCATTTCTTGGGCGAGAAGAAAGTTTCCTCGGCCACGGCCCTCTGGGGCGTGCCGAACGACCACGAGCACGTCGATCGTCAGCTCTGGGGGGATCGGGCCCAGGCGTCGCGTTGTTCGGACTTGCTCGCCGCCGCGCCGCTATCACTTGGAAGCCAGTGCCTTGCTCGTCGCAATTATGTGGGAACTGTAGCCACCCGCGCTTCAGCTCTTCCTGCACGTCGCCCGCGCAGAGGTTGCGCTGCAGGTTCCAGGTTTGCAACGCTGGCTGTTCAGCAATATTGTATTCAGCTCATCGACATCTGGGTCGCCTGGGGCCCAAGGGCGCAGCCGACCATTTTCATATTCGACGTAATGTTGGAGAACCACAACAGCAAGCCCACTTCATTGATTGCCCATCTTGCCACGGCCTCAGCTAGTATGCATCAGTAGATCGTCGTCGATCTGTGATGTGTTTTTTTCCACAAACATATAGTTTCCGCTGTGGCTTCCACGCCGATGGTCAAGGCCGGTCTGCGCGCCATGCTGGGGCGGTGGGCTCGGCCAGAGGACTGCTTGGCTGGGCTGGCTGCCACCGACCGAGGAGTTGATTTCGCACCAGGAGTCAGATTGAGGGTAAAGGCAGAAAAGGCTCCCAGAGACCGCGCAGGGAAGTGCAGAAGCGTCTTCTGCGATCGAGAGCTTTGCAGACTGCAGGAGCAGGCGCCAGGAATATTTGGAACACTGGTCTCCAGCAGGCAGGTTGCCGGCGCGCGCAAGGAAAAGAGCCGACCATCCGCGCGCGATGATACGTTGAGAACGTGCTCAGGAGCGCGACGCCCGAATGCTTTCCCGAGAAGTCCGCGCGGGCAGCATTATTGTTTTGACCACATCTTATAAGTCTCAAAGACAAGCGCCGCGCCGGCCGCCCCGCCCCCCACCCCCTGATGCAAAGCTGAGGAGACCGAAGAGAGACGACGGCAATGAACCTCATCGGTGACGTCGTCGCGTCGCCTCGCTGCTCAGCTTTGCATCGCTGGGGGGGGGGGGGGGGCGGGCGCGGGCTGCGCATTCGCCTTGGCGCGGCGACAGATTCGGCTACCGCCGCGCGGGCGCGCCGTGGCATTTCCGCTCCGATCGCCTCCCGAACGGCGCACTCTGGGTCACCGCGGTCAGAAATTCTGGCACCCGGCAAGGGCCAAGACTGTCCGCGGTGTCACCGAAGCTTCGTGAGTGCGAAAAGTGCAAGAGGCGGAGATCTGGCTCGGTGGCTCAATTCTGCGCGGTCGTTTTTAATTCACGCCCCGGTATTTTGGAATGATCTTAGGTGCTGCTGCCCCAGAGTTCCAGGAGGCGCAGAACCTGTCCCCGACGGTCGCGAGGCCCAAGCGCGCCGCTCGTTCGCGAGCTTTTTCGGTTGCCGTCGTCGAAGACCCCATTTGGAGATCGGCATTGGGACCGACAATTTTTAGGGGAACGATCGTTGTCCGTGCTGCCCTGGGCCTTCTGAAGCCCGAAATCCGACTTCAGGCTCCCAGGACTCAGACGTCTTGCCGTTGGTATCCATGATGAGCTTCCTTTAGGTTGGGGCCACATCAGGGGCCCTCTTGGAGCTGCGCGCTCCAGTTTACCCAGGGCCGGCGGGGCGCGGACCAGCCTGATGGTGTTCATTGAGGCCTGCCCTCGCAAAACCACCTTGCCAACTTTTTTTCGCCGATTGCCGACAGCCGCGCGGCTGGAGCAGTTGGCCGACCAGGCCGCCATCAATGCGTGAGTTAGAGCTGTTGACTTTAGTCATGCCACAGCAGGGCTAGCAGACGCACGAAGCAGGATCGTAGCCTCCTGGCGTTGCACCTGGCCCAGTCCATCTAACCGCGCGTTGGCTGAAGGACACTGGATACGAAACCGACGCGATATGCATATGTGGAGCCCCCAGGACATCGACCACCGGCTGTTGGAGCACCCACAGAGCGCTGTGCTTCGGGAGCAAGGCGATGTCGAAGCCTTGAAAGAGCCCCAAGCTTCCGCCCTGCGCGGTGGTTTTCTGGGCCCACGCCTTTAAGGGTCCCGAGGCCGTCCGGCGTAGGTTTGGCCCGCTCGGCGTTGTGGCCGGCGACGGCGTTTCGCCAGCCGTAGACTTTGCCTGCGAGGTTCATGTCGATGACGGCGTGG